GACAAGTGCTACAGCGACAAGGACTGCAAGTACGGCGAGAAGTGCTGTGACGGAAAGTGCCTCAACGTCAAATGCTGCGCTTTAGTGAACTGTGGGTATGGAAAGACTTGCTACTGCAATGGATATTAGAGAACTCATGGTAGCTCAGTTCGTTAGAGCTTTGGGTTTGCAAGCCTCGTGGTATTGAATCCTTTCGGTCCGCTGCACCCGTGTCTACACAGGTTGGTCTTACAGAATGATACCCCAGTCACCCACACACTTGTCCCCACTCTAGGACAGTGGATGAGTTGGGGATCTGACGGCTTTGCCCTTTGTCGTTACATCTGTTCTTCTGCCGGCTATACCCCTGACGATTACATCTGGAGCTACGGTGGCTTTGCCCATAGCCATTACCTATGGGGTGATGGCAGGCATTGGCAGCTCATAGCTCTTAGATCTGGGTTTAACTTCACCCCTAGCCATTACATCTGGGGTCCAGGGATATGGTGGCTTTACCCCTTGCCATTAGATCTGGGGTCATGCTAGCTTCCAACCTGGGGGGCATCCGGTCCTGGAGGGGGAATGGGTGCACTGGGGTGATGCTGTATGAGGGGTTATATCAAAATAGAACACATACGTTGATGCATATAGGGTTCCTCGGTGTTCCTAAAGATGGGGAAGTAGGGGTTGTGATAGGGAGAATGTTGAAGTTGGGAGGGGTTGGGCGCATGGCTTAAAGGGGTAAAAGAAAGGGCACTGATGATTGAGTCAAGAACGATGAAGCAGGCCAACTAGAAGACTAAGTGCTGCTGAAGACTTTGCAATCTCCAGGACGCCAACCGCAGCCTACTTGGTGTACCTTAACTACAGTCCACTGCAGTCTTGGTGTACCTTAACTACAGTCCACTGCAGTTGGTTCACTGAAACTTAAGTGGGGCTGAAAAGGCTTTGCGGTCTCAGTGTTTCTTTCCTGCACTCTACTGCAGTTCGCTTTTAAGTACTGAAATGGATGTGGATTCACCGTGATGCCGCAGTGGATGGGCTCAAACCTCCTTCGATACTGCAGTTAACGTTTTTCCAGGTTGTCGACGTAGGCTTGTTTGTGATAAAAAAAAAAAAAAAAAAAAGAAGACCTTGTAGGCTTGCGCGTGAACTGGCCCTGTACTTAGGGTGGTGTAAGGATTAGAGATTCTGCCAGGTTTGGTGTGACAAGCCATAGTGTTGCGATGATATGATCATAGCCGTTGCCTACAGGAGGCGAGATCTCGCCTAGTTGAATGCTACCCGGGGGATGCTCTTATCACACCCCTGGTAGAATCAACAGCAGGCATACAAAAAAAATGCAAAAACAGATCTAGTCTATTATGCTGTGTGGTGATGGCTTTTGTCCATGGATCCTAATGTCATTGAGATGATGAGACCGTTATCGAATAGGATGATGACTACTTCACAATTTGCTGAGGGACTGACTTTATGTCACTGTGCTGCTCATTTTGATGGACAAGCCATTAAACCATTGACCGGTTGTAAGAATATCCTCATGACAGGCACCGTGAAAAAAACACAAGTTAGGTTTACCGTGACTATGATCCTCCTTGATAATGATCTTAATATCCCAGACTCGGAAACGACTGTTGGTACAATGCATTGCGCCAGTTGGCGCGTCAGTTCAACTTGACGGAAAAGCCATCGGTCATAGACAGATTGTAAGAAATCTAAGGATATCCTAATCACAAGCTATCTTTGAAGCGCAATCTGCGTTCTCGTCCAATCTCAGACTGACAGTTGGAATCCCATTTCAGGATGAGAGCATTTGGTAGAACCCGTGGATCATTCAGGTCCAATGGGACATGGTTTGAACTAGTGCCTACCTAAGTGAATCAGCAGACGGGAAGGAGCCAAAATAGACGGACTTTGGTGACAGTCCCCATGACAAATCTTCTCCAAGCCTTGGAAAGTTGTATACTACGGTCGGGAAATTACATTCCGCAGTTGGAGTGTCATGTATGTAGACAAGCCATTAGTAATTGATACCTTGGAAGAATGTCCTGATGACAAGTACCTTGTCTTCTCCTGGCAACGCTCGAAACTTGTTAATAGGACAGTACTACAATGGGACAACAGCCTCTGGAAACGTGTTGCTTTACGCATTCTGTTATGAAGTTTCCTGATTTTGAGCTACTGGGGTTGTATTTGTCCGCCTTCTCCTTCTCCTTTGTGGCTTTGTCTCTCACTTCTTGCTTCCTATTCTCTCCTTTTCCCCTCCTTTTCCTTTGACACCGGATTCTATGACTTTTCTCTCTCGCTTTTGCGTGTTTCTTCTCGCTGTGTGCTATTCATTTACCGAACGTTTGGATTCCATCATACTGCTCTCTTAAACCACCAGTACTTCCTAGAGTCGTGCCCGTTAACACGCCACCATTTAAGGAAACGTACGGGCTACTACAGCAGCGGCCAAATTCATCCGACTAGAAACATTTCATTTCTACTCTACTTTTTTCCGCGGCCTATAGCTGGGCGAAGTACTGGTGGCTTAATATCTTTGGGTGCTGTCTGCTTTTTACGGGATGCCAACTTGATTCGTCATAATATGGTGTACGGACAAATGATTGGGTTTCACCCTCCGGCGATGCACGTGGACCTTGCTTCCGCCTTAGGGATCGAAGATTCCAGCAAGGCCATGCGGCTGGACCTTGCTTCAGCCTTATGGATCTAAGGGTCTGATCCGACTTCTTACAGGGACGTCACTTTTAGGCAAAATTTGGGATCCCACTTCTTTCCACGAAAGCAGGATCCCGCCCCTGAATGTCGGGGATGTGGAAACGGTCTCCTACGTGTAGGCACGACCGTGATTGCAGGGGAGGTAGTTCTTTTGGTTTTCGGGAGAGGCCGACCCCCTCTTCCGTAGCGAAAAAGAAGACAGCGATTCTTTTTTTTTTTTTTTTTTTTTTTTTTGGGTCCAAAGGGTAGTCCAGGAATGTCCGCCTTCGGTGGACAGTGTGTGACGGCCGGCACGGTACCGTAACCCCGACGGTGTGTCCCGCCGCACGCCCCACAAAGGGGGACACACCACCTAACCAGTCACACAGTTCGCAGGGCCACACAGGACACTGCGCGACGAAACCCAACCCCGTACACCCGCCCACAACAACCCGCCGCTTTCCTCAACAAAGCACCTCAAACACCGGGCAAGTAGGATTCCATTTTACTTGTACGTCCCTTGCGGACCGGCTCCGCTGAAAGTGGTTCTTTTGGGTTCTTACGAAAAATGGTAGAAGTCGGATCAGGCCCTAAGATACTAAGGTGGTGCAGCTGGACCCTGCTTCAGCCCTACCCATCTTCTCCAAGACTTGGAAACGAGTGTTAGTGCTTGTTAGTGAAGTATATTGGGCAGATAACAGCCATTTGCAAACCTACATTTTTATATTTAGTGAACGAAACTGAAACCTGCTTGTTCGGCCCTGAGGGTCCATCCGGACTCCGCTGAAGTCGAGATACACCCAAGGGGGTCGGGCATTTTCAGAAGATGGAATTCTTTGTGCCACAAATTAAATAGCGTTCAATTTCATGGGAAATTATAAAACGTCCACAGCCACAGCCTTGCTAAAAGAAACTCATTGCCTCATACGAAAAGTTCCGGCCTGGCATGCCGTCAATAAAAAAACATCATCAGCGGCTGGAGTCGTGTTTCGGCCTCCAAAAGGGGCCCACGTCCGATGTATGGTGTGTACAGCTCGTTTAATGAAATGGCTGCTAGATGGAATGACATTGTGAGAATGACTTGAACAGCAGAGGTCTGGTCCCACCTACCCTTGTCGAGTTTAGAAAACTTAACAGTGTGACGCCATTTCGACATTAATAAATTCGAAACAAGAAATTAAAAAACTGAAAAAAAAAATAAAAAATTCTAGAAACAGCTTTTCTCCTTATTTTTATAACGTAACTCGGAGAAATGAAACATGTCTGGGACAGTCGGAGTGAATGTCTCCGTGAAAAAAGGATACTCCCCGTGGTGAGGGGACAGGAGGTCACGGTTTGTAAAATGGACAGGGACAACATGGATGGCCAAATGCATTCATTGCCCAAAGAAGGAAACGAGCTTCATGCCAGAGAGCCAAACGCAGCTGTCAGGGTTCCTCCATTTCAGGATGTAATGATGTCTAAAAAATGAAAAAAAAAAAGGAAAGGCACTGCTGTTGAGAAATGTACCCTATCCTCCTTAGGGTAGTTTTCTCAATGGAAAATGGTTTCCCACCCAAACCAAAAGGGCCAAAGCATACTACAAAACGGATTTCACGTCAAAGGAATATTCTACAAAATGACAAAATCTAATAGGTTATTCTCCTGTATTTCGGTACCATTAGATCGCAATACATCANCGTCAAAGGAATATTCTACAAAATGACAAAATCTAATAGGTTATTCTCCTGTATTTCGGTACCATTAGATCGCAATACATCAACGGCAGAGCTCCGTCCCACCATGCCACACGTGATAGAAAGCTCAGCGTTGAGAAAACTCAACACTGTAGGTGGGACCAGCTCCCCACTTCAAAAAAAAAAAAAAAAAAAAAAAAAAGAATGACTTGACACAACATATCCAATGATATGCCAGAAGATGTATGGAGCATCTACCATATGATGAAATGAGTCCAGCACTCGTCAACTTCAACTTCGCATACATCAGCAAACATTCACATGAGAGCTCACAGGTGAGAAGCCAATTTCAAATCGAGACACAATCCACACTTGAAGATGATGTCTCCAAATTTTATTTATTTATTTATTTATTTATTTATTTATTTATTTATTTAACAAACAACCCGATTCCATGCTAGGGGTGCTGGTAAGAGAAGACACCACCAGCACCATAGGGGAGGCTCCATCTATTAGTGGGGAGCAGCACCTGCTGGAAAACGGGTCGGGTGTCCCTGAACATTTGTCAATGAATGGATTGTTTAGGCAGACGAGTAATTGAAATGACAACAGCTTGCAAGACAAACCTGTAGAGACTATACTCTAGCAGGTAGACCTACCAGTAGCCTAAGATGATTGCCTAGATCACAGCTACATGTCAGTTTGGGATTCAATTTGGTGGTAGTATACACAGGCCCCGTGGCTTCTTCTGGGCGAGCCTGCTAGAGTACCTACCTGTCTTCAAGGCCCGTGGCTCAGGCTACCGGTAGCCCAGTCATTGCCGAGCCTCGGATTTGATTGCCGAGCCTCCGATTTGATTGCCAACCCTCGGACAACCGGTAGTACACAATGGAAAAAAAAGAAGGGTTAACTTCGGTGCAGTCACGGAAACAGTTTGTAATTGCATTTGAAACTGCCTTTTAGTAGTTTAGTCAGGGTCCGAGTTTCAATTGCAGTATGCTGTGATTGCCCGAGTTTCAATTGCAGTATGCTGTGATTGCAGTCCGATACAGGATGATGCTACAGTACTTGTCTGGAACTGAATGAAGCGAGGCAGTTAGCTGCCTCGCCTGGAATCCGCCCTGTCTGGCTGGCAGGGCACTACGAGGACCTCACAACAAGAAACAAAAAAGAAAGACGACCTGTTTCATGTTCCTCACTTTCTGGCCAGATACATTCCTCAAAGCACTGGTGACGTGAGGGCCTTCCCAACGTAGGTGGATTCAAAGTTCCTCTTTTCTTTACTTTTTTATTTCTTCTTTTTCTTTTTTCTTTCTTTGGCCCCCATCCCTGCCCCGAGCCCCCACCTCTTCGGAGTAGGCTGCTCTTGAGACTTCGCCTTTGCCTGTGAAGGGTAGTGCCTGCGAATCTCGGCCATCTCAGCCGTGGCCAATCTGGGGTGTGGCCGAGGCATCTCTGCCGTGGCCAGTCTGGGGTGTGGCCGAGACATCTCGGCTGTGGCCAGTCTGGGGTGTGTGCATGACACGCACGTGGAGAAGCCATAGCTATGCTATGCAAGGTCTGGGGTTTCTTGCTGTTTTTATGGAAGACCTGTTTCGAGAAGTTCGAGAATTCGCATATTTGCTATCCGTGCATGACACGCACGTGTGGTTATGTGTTTGCACTTTGGGTTGATCCGCTTGACTCTACTTGCTTTCAACGAGACATCTCGGCCGTGGCCCAACCATGGGGCTGTTTTTTTTTTTTTGTTTGTTTGTTTCAAGGCGCGGAGTGGGGCGGCGCGTTGCGGCACGTGACAGAAAAAAAAAAAAAAAAAAAAAAAAAACCAAAAAAAAAAAAAAAAACAAAAAACCCAACAAAAAAAAAAAAAAAAAAAAAAAAAAAAAAAAAAAAAAAAAAAAAAAAAAACAAAGAAAGAAAGAAACGGCCATGTGCCTGACTCAGACTGACTGAACTGCTAGAAAAAGCCAGCCCGAGTTTCAAACTGCTAAAAAGCAGTTTCAAATGCAATTGAAACTGGGGCCCTGACTAAACTGCTACAACACAGTTTCAAATGCTATTACAAACTGTAACCCTGACTGCCCCGTAGTTTTCTCAAAAAAACAAAAAAAAAAACACAAAAAAACATACAACATTCTGCAAAAAAAAACACAAAAAACAAAACGAAATGAGACATGCCCAACGAGAATAAATCTTCCTCGATAAAGAGGAAGATTCATTCTCATGAGAGAGAGGGCTCTCTCTCTCTCTCTCTCTCTCTCTCTCTCTCTCTCTCTCTCTCTCTATCTATCTATCTCAACCAACCAACGTTGAAATGAGAACGAATTATTGCGGAAGATTCATTCTGAATGAACGTGGAAGATTCATTCTGATTCATCTCATGTCAAAGTTGGTTGAGAGAGAGAGAGAGAGAGAGAGAGAGAGAGAGAGAGAGAAAGGGAAGGGGTGTCAGCCAGTCTGACGCTGCCAAACTCGGCGTCAGACACTGGCTGATGCCCTCTCTCTCTCTCTCGTTCTTCCCCCGTTTCCCCCGCTCCGCCGCGCCCGTCTCTTTTACGTTGCTACTTCACATTTTCGGAGCCGTTTTTTTTTTTTTTTTTTTTTTTTGGCGCCCGTTTTTTTGGGACTACTGGTCGCCGGTCGGTGGGTACCCCGCCCAACGCGGCGCGTTAACGGAGCGTTTCCAACTTTGCTCAGTATACTATCCTCTCTTGTTTCAAACTTGTGGTGTCTTACTATCCATTAA